ATTCATTTCTTTTTTATTTTGTATGATCTTTTGATGATTTTTAATATATTTATTACTTATATTTTATATTACTATACATACTTTTATATTATTTATTATTTCTATTTTATATTACCATACATCTTTTTATATTATTTATTATTATTTATTATTTCTATTTTATATTGTTATATATATTTTGATATTATTAATTATTACGCATTATTTTGTAATAAACATTTTTCAATATTCATATGAATGATAATAGCAAACAAAATGTTTGTGAGATATCTAATAAATTACGACATTTTATTTCCAATTTATTTAAACTCCATTATGTATTTTTATATGTAAAAAAATTCATACAAAATAAAAAAGAATTCAAAGAGAAAGATTATTTCTCCTCTCCTTTCCCAGAGTTGAACCCCGGCCTTTAGCGTACAAATATTCTACGTCCGTTGCCACTACACCAAACCATCACATGGTAACTTCCCTAAGCAGAATTGAATTAAACCTACGATAAATCTTCAATTGGAAATATCTTAAAAATTATTGAGTACTGCCACCTATAATCATATATCTTAACCATCAGGGGAACTAAATCTACCATCCTACAAAATTTGAATCAAATCGGTGACTTGAAGACTTTGCAGTCTCCTTGATAATTTAGTGTTTGTTTGATATTCAATACTCTCGTTGAAATGATGTGAAAAGTGATACAGTTGTTAAAAACGTTTAGTGAAAAATATCAAAAATTAAGGATCATATTTGTTCAACATTTTTCTTGAATTTATTAATTGATAATGAAAAAATGTATTTACCGTCTAGGAAAATGATTTTAAAATTAATTTCTTAATAGAGACAAATATAAAAGTCGAGGCCAAGATAATAAATGAGCTTAATCTATGTTGGTAAGGCACGAAACGCAACATTGACGAGGTTACCGCAAAATACGCATATATGTTAATGAAATGTCGTTATACATTACCGTTAGCGATCAAATTAGTTGATTGATGTTCTATTAAATTAATTTTTTTCATTCATAACTGCACAATGATCCACCTTCGAAAGTTTGGAATCACTTAAAAAAAAATTAACACAAACAATAATCCTTATCTGTTATATTAAATATCACATTATAGTCTACTTCTTTCTTTCACTGACACACACGGAACAAATATCGATTGGTTTTTCGCGAAGAAGAAGACGCGGATGAACATCATTATCGCACTGTCGAGGCGAGGCTAATTAAAGAACAGTGGGGTAGAACTCCATTAAGATAATTATGCAGCACAATAAAGAATCGTCTATAGGAGTCAAAGATTGATCGACAATTACGGCTGCACGGCTGCTGCCTACTAAAACTGTTTTCAATTGTTTGCACGTGTTCGCATTGTTTTATCAAGTTATCATTGTTTGCCAGACTCTCTCTCGGAGCTTCTACTCGCTGGTATTAGGTGGGGAGGAAACATGGTGCAAGTTGATAATTATAATACTGTTTGGTCGTTCGGTGGTGTAAACGTACAGATTTTAACATATATATTTATGCATATGTGGTGCATATAATTTCAATAAGATAATAGCATAAATTTCGTAACATTACATCGTTTCTGCTCGTTATGAAATCTTGTGAAATCGGCCTGTTATACAATATCGAGAACGTTATTTACATTTCTTATGTTTCTCATTAGGGTGATAATGGTTTATGCCAGCCAACGATTTCAACGTTTACCACTACATGACTGATTAATAGTATACCTGTATAAGTGGAGGAAGGGGTAATTCGTTGAATTTCTTTTCAACAACTACAAAAGACGCGTTATTCCGTTTAATATCCTTCCCTAGGATTTACGTACCCTTTTTTTCAAGGTGTAAGGGAGGTCATTCGCGATGCATGAATCATAAGTTTTCATCGAAGAAAGAAGCCGATTGGAGACCTCTTTGACCCACGGGAGGCTCGTCTCTAGCTTGCCCCCTTCCTTATGTCGCATACTGGACAGTTCGTACGTGGATCCCGATTTGAAGACTCATCGAGATCAGCCGGCAAAGTAGTCGCTGGGTAACGCGTTCGATCGTATCTATCGATGCAAATTTGCGACCGGCAATTTAATACGCGGTCCAACGATGTTGGCGGCGCCATTTTCTCGATTTTATCGAATTTATAATATTTATAATATTTTGACAGAAAGAAAAGGAGGGAAATAAACGAAATTCAGTTTACAAAGCGTGCCGATTCAACGAGTGCAGTGCGATAATGTGACTTTCTTCGGGGATACTAATTACATCTTGTTGCAAGTTGTTTTGTGTCTATTCGCAACGTTATTATCGATTTGAAAGTCAAGTTGCGAGGAGTATAAGATCAATGACCACCGCTCTTGTAAAAAATTCTAATAGAAGGAACTCGTAAATCATCATTGCTTGTCCGGAACGATAGTTGATTGGTTGAAGAGGTCGTGATCCTCGGTGGTGGTGAGCTCGATGGTGGTCCAACGCATAGTCGCTGTTAATGATATAGCGAGTGTTATGGTATCAGGCGACGGCAACGATTGATGCCGCGGTGACACCATTGATGTCGCCGGCACTAAAAGGACCGTATACAATTTATAGCTGTAGACGGTAAAAGTCTGTAGACAGTAAAACCGACAAACCGTCGATTCACTGTCAATTTTAACTTAATTAATTTACTATCAGTCGCTAATAATTAATTACCGCAAAATTTTATATAACGAATGTTGAAAAAAAGAAAATACGTTTCGCAGATTATTGCAGGTTATATATTACAACGGAAGAATCCATTCGAAATCGACATTGTACGACACTGAATGACGCTGACGCTCTTTATCTCGGCCAAATATCTGAAATTGCTGTTTCGACATTCGAAGTATTAGTAGTTTTCTTCACAACTGATTTTACGACTGTGCTATATCATCAGCAGCGACTATATGTTTCCAATCGTTTGCTTAAAACGAAGATACGCTAAGCAGCCATCGGGGATATCGGCAGTCGTCCGGTTTCCGCTGGATCGATTGGTTGCTCGAGACTCGAGGGTTCTCGTTATGGGAATCGAAGGAAGGAGTCGGAAAAAACAGAAGTAGATGCGTTCTCGAGCATCGTTCGGGTACTTTGGTCGGTCGTTCTTTGAGGTATGAGAACGAAACGTACGGCCGAGACCAAGCGATAAGAAGGTAAAGTCGTGTGGTATAAGACTCTTGTAACAAGAGTTAGACGGTTGATAAGCAGCTGATGCTCGTAGACCCGGGTTCTGATACTGTTGTGTTAATAACTAGCGACGAATTGTGTCACCACGTTTCAGTGGTATTGGTAGCCGCGATGGTGGTAGTAGTAGTGGCGGTGACAGCGACGTGCAGCAGTCTATGAATCCAGGGTTACTGCTCTCCCTGGGGCCGTGCTTCGTGGGTTGAGAAGCTTTCAGGCTTCACGTGGAAGGCTGGAAACTGGTCTGTCGCGGACTCGTGGGGATGTTATGTAAGCTGCAGTTGATCGACATAAACGCATACAGAGATCGTGTATATAGACGCACGTATGCACGAAGGAATCGCTATGCACTACGTGCTATAAACGCGAGGTGTTCGAAGTCGCGAGATCCGTCGAGAGGATATTCAGTGACGAGAATCGTGACGCGGCTAGACGCGGCGATTAACAATCAAATGCGCGCACACACAGTGTTTACTCGAACATAGCGTCGAAACGTATAAGGTCTTGATCTTCCAGGTGATCGGGTTACGTGTACTAGCAGTGATCCTCGAAGGTTACCTGAGGATACTTTTTACACGTGGTTCAGCTTCGATGAGCTTATGAGCTATGAGGAGGATATGCGATTGAGAACCGAAGACAGGGAGGAAGAGGACGAGGAGTTCGAAGACCGTTTAGGAATGTCTTCGGCTTCAACTAACAAATTACAATCTTTGTGGCATCATTTCATTCACGCAAAGCGGCAGAGTAACGAGGTACTTGATCCCTGGATCCAGGATTTTCTATCACTGACAATCACAGATTCCTTTCACGACCTTTCTATATTTCCACTTATCTGGATATTACTTTTTAATTTAGTTAAAATTGTTGCAAACGCGAGGATACGAACTTGATAAGTCAATTGGCACGTCGGAGAGCAAGAAGATTCTAACTAGCTAGCCTAGCTTGCAGCGGTATTAGTTTTACTTTCACATTTATCTTTCTTCTTTGAAATCTAATTAATATCGGCTAACAGCTTTATCGGCGATCATTTTTATTCAAACGTTAACTCAGCTTTTAACGCGTCTTTTAACATGTTTTACCAAGCAAGATTCCGCAATCGTTGCACATCACTCGTCCGTTCACGGCTAACCACCACCTTTCATTTGTGTTAAGATGACTTACAAGTCACATGTAACTTACTCGTCGATACTTCGCCACAAGTATCAAAGTAACAAGTGGTGTTCTGTATCGAATAACGCAGTATCATCAATTTCTTTGCGTGCATTTATTGAAATAATTACGAAAAACTTGGTAATTACTTTGAAATTCGTTGGTTTGTAGTAGCCTGCCTCCGATTAAAAATACGATTAACGATGTTTGTTTAAAGCAATACTTTTCTTGTCGATTATGTCATTTGCGAAGCTTCCGAGCTGCAGAAATCATTATTTTTATACTCATATCCGCCCTATACACGAATGAAAATGTAATCTGTTAAAATGAACACAACGCTACTTATAATCAACAATCGACAAAATGCACACAGTTGTTTCCATTGTGAATCATCTATTTACGCATCGAACAAATACGATGCCATGTGATGTTGGTAACTTATGTTTATTTCCCTATGCTTGTAAAGGGTTAAATTACGATGTATAATAGTTATAATATAATTCACGAAACGAGAGTGTACATGCGAAGTTTCAACTCTGATATTTTTGGCCGCAGTGTCTATCAAATTGATTATTTTATCACGAGCACGCCGACACGTGTAATAATCAGCGTGCATTTCGAAAATTAAAGAAAACAATATCTTTGTTTCTTTTTTTATCGTGGTTTAGTACTTCGTATCTACTATTTCCTCGACATATTCATATCTCTGTCGTAATGAGTTGTTTTTCTTGTTACCGTATCAAATCTAGAAAGCACAGTATTGCTAAAAAAGAAGGGTCACGTTATTTATATTTATTTAGGCTATATTTGTTAGCATTTGCTACCGCCATCGACATTGTAATTACGCTTTCGATAATCTTTTACTTTGTTTCTTAATTGTAATTCAATGAACCATCGTTTCAATTGTACGTCTCTTTTTGTTTAGAAATCATACTGGCTGGACATATTTCTCGCGGAATTTCTTGCCCAAGTAAAAGAAGGCCAAGATGCGAAAGATGTTCTATCGTTTTGGTAAGATTATACACCACTTGATTAAATCCCTGTGATATCTACAACGATAACGCGATTATTCAATTGTGTGCTACTTGTCCAAACAGTAGTTAATCCTTTCTCTAAAAATACACCGCTGGTAAAGGAATTAGCATGAACAGTAACATTATTTCGCTATCGAATTCCGATATTCGAGACACTAAATGAAGAAGTAACAATACGTAGATTTTTCCGACAGCGATCGTTGACCGCAACCTAAAAATATGATCCCATGCCTGTGGTTACGATCAACGTAACTTTTTACCTTTGTATGGGATTCGCTTTTCTTTCACTAGCACGTGATCACTTTTTCCGGTTCGTATCGTCAACGAGACTTATATTCGGTCATTTTTGTGACAGTATTTAAAATAAAAATGTTATCTTACCAGACTTAAAAAAAAAAATTCCATCTACTCGTTAATCACAAGGATCACTGTCCTGCACACGATTGTTCCTCGGTTACCGAAATTTTAGTCTATTTCACTTTCAAAACTTTCCCTCGAGATATCGTGTTTCTCACTGAAAATAAGATCGCATACCAGTACGAACGTTTGGACAATGGTCATATCGGAGCGATAATAGAGATAACGGCACCTCATCCGATGGATAAGATAGGAGTATAAAAGACGCAGTATGGAAATATCCATTCCAGTTCTGTCAGCGGTGGTAGTGTATCTACCCTTATAGCTTGTGAGCTACTCTCTGACGTCCATGAACTTTCCGCAAAAAGGATCGACGGGGACGAACTTGCTAGACTGAGGAAGTATTTGACCCAAGATCGTGGCTGGCGTTGCCTGGCTTTTCTGCATTTGTTTGGTGTACGCGGTCTCTCCGGTGGACGAGAATTGGTAGCTTTGCTGATCGCTTTGTATCCAGTCGCTTTTCAAGAGGAAACGAGTAACAAAGCCGATTCTGTTCCGTCGAATGTATCTACCTATCCGTTGGCGGATGGTACCACGCACAATCCGTATGTAAAATTCTACTGCAACGACGACACCGTTGACACGGTAGATATCGTGTCGCATGTGAAACGCAAGGCGGTAAAGTCTAATCGAAACGGCGTGTTTTACGACGGCAATGCACCGTCAGAAAGAAGAGTTGGTCATAGGCTCATCGGTACCAAGTTGCCGGCCCATTTTAAGCAAAAATCGTTTGGAATGTTCGAAGCGCGCCGTAACACGCCGGAAAGTGCGAGCAGCGAGTCCGAAACTCTGACAGATATGGATCGGGCATCAGGGACCCGCCTGAACCCTATGGCTTACGAGTATTGGCATTCCGTCGTCATAAGCTACGAGGAACAGAAATGGGAGGCAGCACCCTTCGAGCGCCCTGCCCGGCCGGTGAAGAAAACACCGAGAGACTACATAGACGAGCGTATCAAGGATGTTTTGGATGCTCGAATCAGCAATTTCGAGACGAGTCTGTTGATTATTCAGTTGCTTCAGGGATTGCGAGATTACGATACACCAGCCGAGCAAACACCGGCTGTACAGGTTCTAAAATTTGCTTTGGATACGCTATGGTCCCTGCAATTCGGCATAGACAACGTTGCTATGACTGGTATCGAATGCGCTACGTTAAAAGCTGCGGCTGCTAGACTTATGCTTACGGCACTGAAGCGCGTATTAAGCGCAAACGAGCCAACAACTGCTGTCATTCATAATGGTTTATTGCCTATGACTCTGAGATTACTCGAGGACGCTTGTAGTAAGCCAGTAAACGTGTTTTCGTCAGAGGAAGGCTCGCTGGTGCAAGAGTTTATTTTTGCTACCATTTATGGAATCATATCGTTTCTTTATTGCCTGCTGCATCAACAAGGCACCGTGGTAGAGAAGCTGTCGGACTTTTTAGAATTATTTCAATTGTTCACGGAGAGCCAGGATGGAAAGCTCGTGGAGAGAACAATTTTCGCGATTGTGGATCTACCAACCGGAGATCCAGCGAGATCAATACTCCGCGCCAGAAAGATCATTGATATGATAGGTGCGCTAACGAGTAGCCTGAAATCCATTCGGCGTGATATTTCGCATATAGCCAAGTGCAGCAGAACGAAACACAAATCCTGCATCAATACCGTTACGCTTCATCATCATTCGGATGTATTTGGAGCACCTTATGGTCAGCCGACCGTCGGCGCTGTTATGAAACCAGCATGTTGCATTTCGTCTCTTTTCATGATACTCACTAATCTTCTCAAACATCCTCATCCTTGCATCAACGAGTTGCAAATTAGCTTGATCAAAGTGTGCACAGCGACTGGCACTTGTTGCTGTTTTCCACCTAGAATACTCATGACCAGTATCACGACTCTTTTGAAAAAACGTGATTCAACGATTTATACACTAGCCATCGCATTTTTAGAACGTACCTTTTTTAAAGAACTCGGTACCTATCCAGAATTGGTAATATGTGATACCTGTGATCGACCTCTGACATTTTCCTGGGACTTTCTGGAGATGTATGCAGATTTATTGACTCCGGATGATCCAAAATTATGCTATGCCATAATGGTTCATCTTCTAAAGATCGGGACCCGTTCCAAGTTCCGCATTAAATGGAAATTGTTCTTGAAGGTCTTTTATCCGACTTTCTTGAAGGCTAAAGGCTATTATGCAGCTGACAAAGAAAATATTATCGCGAAATTCCTCATTCAATCTTGTCTCTCCGCGTTGTCCTGTTTGATCGTATACACGGAAATGTACCAAGAATTTACCGGGACTAATGGATTGGAAGAAGCACTGACTTTGCTATCGGACATGACTTTCACGAAGAACGTTTACGATCTCTTAGAAATCTGCGTTATCGTCGAGATGTGGACAACAAAGTATTATTTAAATACGGAGAAACCTGCGCTCAAGTCTTTGTTTAATTCCCTTGAAAAGGAGACCACCGAACTATTGCATGTTCTCGAAAACTCGACTGATATTCTCGTTGATGAAAAGTACGTTGAGCAAGTAACGAATCAAATTTTTGTCATCGAATCGATGGATCAAGATGCTCAGGGATCGAGTACCACGTTCCAAAATGACATCATGAAAGAGCAGAACGCAGCAAAGGGATCGACGAATGCCAGTTCGTGTTTTCCAGAGAGTCTTTTTAATTCCGAGGTCAATGCTTCATGTCTGGAAAATGACGACACAGATGACAGCAAGAAGATAAATCTCTATCAAGCTAGTGCAGCGTGGAGAGCCGCAGCTGGGGTAGCTCTTTGCAATCCGAAATTTCGAACTCAATTGTCGTCGCACTCCGTGTCGCAGAAATCTTTGCAGCTCTTTATAATGTTAGCGATACGTATTTCTACGGACAGTATTACAGGTATGTTTAGACCTAATTATGTTTAAACATACAGTATAGATATAAATATCTGGATTTATACTTACATATTTATCTACTTGTAGATACCAACAAATCGGCGCATAGACTCTTCGAGGCTTTGCTTACGTGCTGTTTAACATCCCCGTTGTGTAAGTATTTTTATATAACGAATGTGAATCATAGGCTTTCGGAGTACGTTTCTATCCTACGTACTCTTTGGCGGGCACAGCTGCGGATTTAAATCCTAATAAGCTGCAGGAATTCGTTCGCTGTGAAAACAGTCCGCAGAATGCTCGAGATCAGTAAACATCTTGAAGTATCTGCTGTTAGTGAATCCTCTTTTTCGACGAATAGTATTTCGACACACGTGTATCTTATATTGTACATCTAATAAGATTTATATAAAACGCTGCGTGTTACAGGTGATTGCGACATAATTATGGAACTGGGAAGAGCG